GCTTGTCTCAACTGTCTCAATCTAATTAGGTAAGACATGGTGCTTGTCTCAACTGTCTCAATATAATTAGGTAAGTCAAGGTGCTTGTCTCAACTGTCTCAATCTAATTAGGTAAGTCAAGGTGCTTGTCTCAACTGTCTCAATCTAATTAGGTAAGTCAAGGTGCTTGTCTCAACTGTCTCAATCTAATTAGGTAAGATATGGTGCTTGTCTCAACTGTCTCAATCTAATTAGGTAAGTCAAGGTGCTTGTCTCAACTGTCTCAATCTAATTAGGTAAGTCAAGGTGCTTGTCTCAACTGTCTCAATCTAATTAGGTAAGTCAATGTGCTTGTCTCAACTGTCTCAATCTAATTAGGTAAGACAAGATGCTTGTCTCAACTGTCTCAATCTAATTAGGTAAGTCATGGTGCTTGTCTCTGTCAACTGTCTCAATATAATTAGGTAAGACATGGTGCTTGTCTCCACTGTCTCAATCTAATTAGGTAAGACATGGTGCTTGTCTCAACTGTCTCAATCTAATTAGGTAAGACATGGTGCTTGTCTCAACTGTCTCAATATAATTAGGTAAGTCAAGGTGCTTGTCTCAACTGTCTCAATATAATTAGGTAAGTCAAGGTGCTTGTCTCAACTGTCTCAATCTAATTAGGTAAGTCATGGTGCTTGTCTCAACTGTCTCAATTTAATTAGGTAAGTCATGGTGCTTGTCTCAACTGTCTCAATATAATTAGGTAAGTCAAGGTGCTTGTCTCAACTGTCTCAATCTAATTAGGTAAGACAGGGTGCTTGTCTCAACTGTCTCAATCTAATTAGGTAAGTCATGGTGCTTGTCTCAACTGTCTCAATATAATTAGGTAAGTCAAGGTGCTTGTCTCAACTGTCTCAATCTAATTAGGTAAGACATGGTGCTTGTCTCAACTGTCTCAATCTAATTAGGTAAGACATGGTGCTTGTCTCAACTGTCTCAATATAATTAGGTAAGTCAAGGTGCTTGTCTCAACTGTCTCAATCTAATTAGGTAAGTCAAGGTGCTTGTCTCAACTGTCTCAATCTAATTAGGTAAGACATGGTGCTTGTCTCAACTGTCTCAATCTAATTAGGTAAGACATGGTGCTTGTCTCAACTGTCTCAATCTAATTAGGTAAGACATGGTGCTTGTCTCAACTGTCTCAATCTAATTAGGTAAGTCAAGGTGCTTGTCTCAACTGTCTCAATCTAATTAGGTAAGTCAAGGTGCTTGTCTCAACTGTCTCAATCTAATTAGGTAAGACATGGTGCTTGTCTCAACTGTCTCAATCTAATTAGGTAAGACATGGTGCTTGTCTCAACTGTCTCAATCTAATTAGGTAAGACATGGTGCTTGTCTCAACTGTCTCAATATAATTAGGTAAGTCAAGGTGCTTGTCTCAACTGTCTCAATCTAATTAGGTAAGACATGGTGCTTGTCTCAACTGTCTCAATCTAATTAGGTAAGTCAAGGTGCTTGTCTCAACTGTCTCAATCTAATTAGGTAAGTCAAGGTGCTTGTCTCAACTGTCTCAATCTAATTAGGTAAGTCAAGGTGCTTGTCTCAACTGTCTCAATCTAATTAGGTAAGTCAAGGTGCTTGTCTCAACTGTCTCAATCTAATTAGGCAAGTCAAGGTGCTTGTCTCAACTGTCTCAATCTAATTAGGTAAGTCAAGGTGCTTGTCTCAACTGTCTCAATCTAATTAGGTAAGTCAAGGTGCTTGTCTCAACTGTCTCAATCTAATTAGGTAAGTCAAGGTGCTTGTCTCAACTGTCTCAATCTAATTAGGTAAGACAAGGTGCTTGTCTCTGTCAACTGTCTCAATGTGTTCATTAAGGTAAATTAGGTAAGACAAGCTAAGTGTCCTGTTAAACAATATCAATCTATTTGTTCATTAAGATAAAATCCGGTAAACTTCAATACATTTACACAAAGTAGATGCTTGGAATAAGGTTTTTGACATTTAGTAATTAAACCCTTCTGGTGGCAATTGTGATACAAAGGGTCGAATTCGAATGCCATTTTACTGTACTAGTTTGTATATCACACATATTATTTCTAATGTGCGCATAGAAGTGCAGGTAACTTATCATTGACTAACGCAAGGTTAAGCTAGAAAGTTGTACATTCAAACAGGCGCTGATCCTAATCCTAAGCCGCTATAATCCTAGTAGTAAAAAAAAAACTTTATTTAAGATCAAGCATTTAGAGACGGTTAAGATGGTTTCAATTGTACAATCTAAAAGCATGCAGAGAGGTGGGTACATTAAGGCATATGCAGATATGACTAGTTATATTATGTAGGTATGGCCAATTGATGGACATGCAGGTATGGCTAAAAGCTGCATATAAAAATATGTCTGATGCATATAAAAGTATGTCTAATTAATGCATGTGAAAGTATATCCAATTGATACATATGCATGTATGCATATAAAAGTATACTAGTATACTAATTGCAGCATAAAAAAGTATGGCTAATTGATGCATTTAAAAGTATGTCTAGTTGAGGCATATTAAAGTATGGCTAACTGATGCATATAAAAGTATGTCTAATTGATGCATATTAAAGTATGGCTAATAGCTGCATATAAAAGTGCGTCTCATTGATGCATGTAAAAGCATGTAAAATTGCTACATACGCAAATATGGCTAATCGATGCTTATGACAAAAATAACTAACTGCAGCATATACAGGTAAGTCCAATTGATGCTTAAGAAACTACGGCTAATCGCTACTTGTATTCAAAATATTTGGACACGTATAACTCAACCAAAAACAAAACGGCTATGGCTAACCAATGTAAAATGATATTCATCTACCAACTATCAGGTACAGGAAGAAGAGAGCTAAAGCCGACGAGGACGACCAGAGCTCGGCTTCCACCAAGATCGAGTCCGTCAGCTCATTCACGTCCGTCGCCACAGGTCTACAGACCGCCACCGGCACCGAGAGCAGCGAGAGTTCATCCGTGGCGTCGAGTGAGTCTGCCTGGTAACCATGGCAACAGGAGGTGCGCGCAGGGCGGTGGTTATGGCAACTGGGTGTACACAAGAGGTTGCTATGGCAACAGGGAATACAAGAGATTGCCATGGTAACTTCAGATGCACACAAATGGTAGCCATAGCAACAAGTAGCACAAACGGGGTTATATGAAAGAGTCTTCGGATGTTGCCAGGTAGCCCTAGCAGATAACACCTCGTACAAAAGTAGCAGACGAAAAGTGGCACCCACACAATATCTGGCACAAACAGCAGGCGACACATCAAGTTCCACAGAGAAACCAAACATCTCCACCTTGGGAGCTAAAGCCAAGACAGTCCGGAAAAATACACGAAAATCGCTGTCGTAGCAGAAGCTGTTAAAGATATAAAGTGAATCGCTCATCGTAGCTTTAGCTGTAAGATTATTTTTTTACTTCAGTCACTGAGATCAGATCATCACACAAACGACTGCTGTTGTTGTTGTACCATTGTGTGAATACCACACTGGCACTCAACTATTTAAAACATTATAAAACAAAGTCTTAAATTTGGTCGAAATAGGACTTGGTTTCCCCCTGAATTAAGTGTAATAAGTGTAAAGACTAATGTAATTTAGACCAAAGTAAAATTATTATTAAAGCTCTCATGAGTTGAGTGGTTAGACTGTAGATGCCGTCACTAAATTACGTCACTTAATGTAAGACTACTTTGACCGTCACACGTCGTCACAAAGATCAGAACCCCCCCCCCCTCCCCCCCCCTTCAAATAGATGTTATCGAGTACCCCCCTCCCCTTTATACAGTCATAGATTTAACGATTTTAAAAAAATAATTTGTAGTTTTAAGGACTATGTATACAACATCGTGCTAGACAACACTCCCCCCCCCATATCCCAGACAATGCTTACAGTGTTATTGTTCAATACTGCGGCGAAATTACATAATTATCTTGGAACCCAAGGCTGACCCTTATACTGACGCTCCGTGTGTTTATAGATAAGTACCGTCCATCTTTAGTTCCCCCCACCCCCAACTACATGTACTAGGTACATGAACAAAGTGCTACCTCTACCACCCCCACCCCCTCCTAGCGACGCCTCTGATTCTACAAATAAAGAACGTACATGTAGATCTTACCTGTGTCCGTACAATGTTTAATATGTAATTTATTTGATTAAGTTGATGGAAATAAATAATATGTCACATTAATCTTGTAAGTTATGTTTTATAAGTCACTGTTAGTTTTAACTTAGTGCATTTATTTTTCGTGTTGTATTTTCCAAATATTTTATTTTGAATAATTTGCTTAGATGCACGTAGTTATATACTTGTTTTCTCACATTTTATTTTTAAAATTTAGTTTGTGTCAATTCATACTGATAAAAAATAAACGATTAAAATATAATTAAATAATTATTTAAACGTTTGGAATATGGCCTCGAGACAACAGGTTTATCTGGCCAGTGCGGTATGGTAGGAGAATGTAATACATGCAACATTTCTACCTTGTTTGGTATATTTGAGCTATGATAGATATATACTAGTTCATCGTTAGGGATTGGGTTAATGTATATTATATGGACATGATCCTTATTTATGATACATATTTAATATGTTATTGACGTTTTTAAATGTTAATAAACCGTAGGAATAGAACCACTTATTTATTTCTAAGCATTGTTTGCAATTGTTGAGGTAATATCGGAAAAATCCTAAATTATTTAATGGAAAACTATGTATGTCTAAATAACGAAATATAATTGTAATGCCTTTAATTCTTTTCACCATACGTTCATAATTTGTTATTTTAAATAGATTTAAAAGTTGCATTGTAAAACATTTATTTCTATTTATGTAATTCAATATTTAACGTTTCATTTTAAGTATTTTATTTTATTTTTATAAGTGTTTTAAGGCTGAATCGTGCAAGGCTATTGCGTGAAAATCAAAGAAAATCACAAAACTTATTCATACTATTGTTTAGGGCTTTGGTCACAGATTAGCACTTTATTTAAAGTGATTATAGCTTTGGTCTTAGATATTATAGCTTTTGTCACATAGGTTAGCGATTTAGTCATAGATTAGCAAATTAGTCAGATTGAGATTAATGATTTGTTCCAAAGATTAACCATTTGTTAGACCAAACAGACGATGAGCGAGGATGAAGGTACTGATGGTGAGTTTTTAATTAAGTAATCAAATGTACTTCTAATAAGTTGGATAATCTATTTGCCAGTTTTTACTTTAGTTTTATACTTAACGACTTAACGCTTATGTGTTTAGTATTTCTACTTTCCGATTGTGTGATGTGTGTGTATATGTGTGACGTCTGTGTGTGTGTGCTGGTATGTATGTGTGTGTGTAACGAAGTTGGTAAATTTAAATAAAATTTTCTACTCGTCAATCTTCGCTGTACTAAATTTGTAAAAAACAAGTTAATTAAAAAAGTCTAGTGACATTTATGCGCAATTTCCTTATGTTATCTAAAAATAGTTCTGACGTATAATGCTGGGGTGCGTTCAAGCTAGAAGAACGATCGGTTTGTAGGTGTTTATGTTATTTTAAAATTTGTGACCGAACGAGAGGATATTTTTGAAAACTTTCTTCGGCAATATTGTTCTAAATTATGGCAGGAATCGATTGGTACATGTTTCAAGTCGCTAAGTGGTCTGGTTGCCGAGATATTGGCCAAAAACTGAATTTTTTCGAGGTTTTTTGGCTTTTCCGGGAAATACATGAAAGAAACCCGGAATTTTTATGGCCTATGCTCATTCTCGTAACTTGCTTAACATAATTGCTTTTGGAACTAGTCATCGATATTGCTTCGTTGAGGAGGAGATACGACTTAAAGCCCGGACACACATTCATCCATACATTCATTCATTCATTCATTCATTCATTCATTCATTCATTCATCCATCCATTCCCAGAAATGACGAGTTAATAAACGCAATTCTCCAGAATGGAAATTGCGCTAAAAAGTGCTTATTTCATTTATGTAATTATGAGGTATTGATTTAAAAAAAATTTCCTATGGAGCTCAGCTAATGTTAAATACAAACGATGAGCAAAGTATTATGATGTCATAAGTAGTAGCTATACCTCTTATTCAAACTTCTATGCTTGTATTGCTGAAAACTTTTTAAACTGATTATTTTTAGTAACATCGATCTCACCGGAATTTCCCAAAAACTGGAGAAAGGGAAATCCCGTTGGGCATGGTGGAAGTGTGTACGAGATCATAGACGACAGCGAGCCTAACGAGGTCAAGTTTGTGGGCAAGGATGTGTCTGTGGCGACAGCCAGGACTGATAAGGAGAAGGTCAGTTGGTTTTTTTAATTACTTTTTTTCGGCCTGGCCGACGAAGAGAAATTTAATTCTTTTTGAAAGACACACATACACACACACATTCATACACGCATATATATATATATATATATATATATATATATATATATATATATATATATATATATATATATATATATATATATAACAGCTTTTTGTTTAATTTTTAACCTAGATTTTTTTATTCATTGAAAATTAAAACAAAACAAAAATAAAAAATACAATTTTAATTCGTAAGAGTAAAACTCTTGAATGTCGCTCAAAATGGTGTAAGATATGGGGAGTTGATCACCACAACAACCTCCACCACCACTACCACGAAAACCTCCATCACCACTACCACCAACACCACCACTTCTACCTGCACCACAACCGCCATTTACACCAACATAACCTCCACCACCATCACAACCACCAATACTATCACCACCACCACTTCTACCTCCTCCAGCACTACCACCATCACCACCATCACCAACACAACCACCACCACTACTACAATTTTAAATTACATGATGATCTGTAGAATATTCGAGAGCTGAAAATTCTGGAACGAATCAGACACCAGAGAATCGTTGCGTTCCACGGGTACCAGCAGAAACCTGACGTCCTCACCATCTTCTTCAAGTACATCAAACTGGTAACTTGATTAAATGTTGTTTGGTACCTTTTTCATTTGGTAATTTGCTGGTGATGGGGGTGGAGGGGGGGGCTGGTAACTATGGTGAAGTGTTATTTTTATTTGTTTATTTTATTTTTGGGGGGGGGGGGTGGATTTTTAAAAAAATATTAATTTAGTACTAACTTTTTTTTTGTTACCTTGGCTTTGGACGTTTTGTGTATGTTAATTTGTAGCTTTTTTTCGTAACTTTTATTTTGATACTTTGTTGTTTTGTTAGTTTGTGGTAAGTTTGTTAATTTTTAGTCACTTCATTGCTTTTGTTTATGATAAATGTGATACACTTGGTACATTTTTAAAATAAATTTAGTAAATTAAAAACTTTTGGTACATATGCCAATATCTGTACTTTTGGTAATGATAGTAAATTCTGCCTAGGGCTCTGTGGCCAAGTTGATAGCCGACCGAGGGTCACCGCTAGACGAGGCCACAGTTCGACTCTACACCAGACAAATTCTCGAAGGTTTGAACTACCTACACAACAATGAGCCGACCATCATACACAGAAACGTCAAAGGTCAGAGGTTATAGTGTTTTCTTTTTATCAAAGGTTTTAATTATCTAGGAAGGTGTCTAGTTCTTAAGTTACATTGTCACAATTTAAGAAGATCTGGTCGAATTATCTGTCTACCGTGTATACCAAACGCTTAAATTAATTTTATTTATTTTTAAGCTTTAATAAAATTAATGGAAGCTTTTAAAAACTTACACAATAAGCTGGGGGGGGGGCTTTTTTAAAAATTGTATCATAAATGTAACCTATACTGGGACCCACACCTGCACAGGTACCCATACATCTGTACCAACACACCCACACATGTACAGGTACCCATATATCTGTATCAACACACCCACCCCTATACAGGTCCCCTTATATATCTGTAATAACACACCCACACCAGTACAGGTACCCATATATCTGTACCAACACACCCACACCTGTACAGGTACCCATATATCTGTACCAACACACCCACACCTGTAAAGGTACCCATATATCTGTACCAACACACCTACACCTGTACAGGTAACACAAACACCTGTACAGGTAAAACAAACACCTCTACATCTAAAACAAACACCTGTACAGGTACCCTACACCTGTAAAAACACACCCACACCTGTACAGGTAAAACAAACACCTGTACAGGTTAAAACAAACAAATGTACAGGTAAAACAAACACCTCTACATCTAAAACAAACACCTGTACAGGTACCCTACACCTGTAAAAACACACCCACACCTGTACAGGTAAAACAAACACCTGTACAGGTTAAAACAAACAAATGTACAGGTAAAACAAACACCTCTACATCTAAAACAAACACCTGTACAGTTAAAACAAACACCTATAACCCACCAGGTGAGAACGTGCTGCTAGAAAGCCCAGGTAATGTCCAGCTGACCAACTTCGGACTGTCCAAGATCCTCCACAGCCAGACCAAGGCACGCTCTAACGTCGGCACCTCCTACTGGATGGCACCAGAGATCATACAGGGGGCGGGGCTTAGCAGCTATGACGTCAGAGCGGATATCTGGTAGCTACGCCTTCATCTCCTTAGCTTTGCTTTAACCCTATTTTTAGCTCTGTTCTTATTCTGTTTTACATTTGGCTTAGCTGTACCTTAAGCGCTGTTTTAGCTCTGACTTTAGCTCTATTTTTATTATGTTTTATATCTGGCTTTAGCCCTATCTTTAGCTGTTTTATCCATGACTTTAGCTTTATATTTAGCTTTTTAGCTCTGTTCTTAGCTTTATGTTCTAATTAAGACATAGCTCCATCTTTATCTGTAGCGTTCTCTTTCTTTGATTACGTGTTCAGCTATATCTCTGGCTCCATTATTAGCTCTGTATTTAAGTCTAAACTTTGTAATTTACGCCGTGACTTTGTTTTTTCTTATCAGCCGTCTATAACTAGCTTTAAATTTCAATTATAACATCCCTATTTTTATTTGTCTTTAACTCTAATAACAATGTTTTTATCTAGTACAGCTCTCTGACTTTAGCTCTATAATCATGATATTCAAATCTGTAGTTGTTTAAACTGAGTCAGCCCAATCATTAGTTTTGTTAGCTCTTACGTTTGCTCAGTCTTCAGCTGCGTCTTAAGTTCTGTCTTTAGCTCTTATGTAGAAGTACCGTGTAAAGATATTTTCAACAAACAGTTGAATTACAATTGTGGATATAATAATATTGTGTAAATGATGTGTTAAAATACGCTCCCATCACTAGAAAATGTGTTCCCAGTGCTGTGTTAATGTGTTGTAACTGTGTTGTAACTGTGTTGTAACTGTGCTGTAACTCTTGTGACTGTGCTGTAACTGTTGTAACTGTTGTAACTGTGCTAATGTGTTGTAACTGTGCTGTAACTGTGTTCTAACTGTTGTAACTGTGTTGTAACTGTGTTGTAACTGTGTTGTAACTGTGTTGTAAATGTATTGTAACTTTGTTGTAATTGTATTGTAATGTGCTAATGTGTTGTAACTGTGATGTAACTGTTGTAACTGTTGTAACTGTGTTGTAACTGTGTTGTAACTGTGTTGTAACTGTGTTGTAACTGTGTTGTAAATGTATTGTAACTTTGTTGTAACTGTATTGTAACTTTGTTGTAACTGTGATGTAACTGATGTAACTGATGTAACTGATGTAACTGTTGTAACTGTATTGTAACTTTGTTGTAACTGTGTTGTAACTGTGCTGTAACTGCCCCCTACACGCATGTGCCTGTCTTCCAGGAGCGTAGGCTGCACCGTGGTCGAGATGACCACTGGTCACCCACCATTCCACCACCTGAACCCCAACCAGGCGGCTTTTAAAATCGGCAGCGGGGAGAGGCCGGACTACCGGCTGCCGGACGGCACGTCTAGACAGATGGTCAAGTTCCTGGAGAGGACCTTCAAGAGGAACTACAAGGACCGGCCTAGTGCTGAGGATTTGCTCAAGTCTGATCCGTTTGTAGCGGCAGGGAAATTGTGATGTTTTTATTATACGAGGGCGTCGCTAGGGGGTGTGTCTAAGGGGGAGGGGGTTATAGGGTTACTTCCCAACTTCAACATAATTGTTAAATATAACGTTGCTGGATATTGCTATGTTATATATTGTAAATAAATAATTGCATCATTGCTTGTTTTGTTTCTTTTGTTCATTGTTTTCTCATAATTTTAGTACTGCATTGGGTTTGTGTGTGGGGGTTGTGTGTTGTTACATAGCTCCCTCTTTTAGGATTTATTCGAGTGACCTTGATGCCATCATACTATAATAATGTGTGCGTCTTTGCAGACTCAATGCTGATTCTGTTGTTGATGACACTGATTAAATTTGTCGAGTTCCTCAAAAAAAACTATCAATTTTCATTTTCAACTTTGTTTTTATCGCTTAACTCGCCAACCCAATACGACGATGCCTGTTTTTATCATCACTTTGACTTCAGCTTTTGAAGGGCTAGTGTGAGCAGTAGAAGTCCCAGCCACCTTTCTGTCCATGACTCATGTCAGTTCCATGACTCACGTCATTTTCATGACTCATGTTAGTTTCATGACTCATGTCACTTCCATGACTCACGTCATTTTCATGGCTCATGTTAGTTTCATGACTCATGTTAGTTCCATGACTCACGTCATTTTCATGACTCATGTTAGTTTCTTGACTCATGTTAGTTTCATGACTCATGTTAGTTTCATGACTCATGTTAGTTTCATGACTCATGTCATGTCAGTTCCATGACTCATGTTATGTCAGTTCCATGACTCATGTCATGACTTGTCAGTTTCACGTCCGCGCTGCTGAACTCAGTGACGTCAAACAAACGCGAGAGCTGGAATCAAACTCCTGTTTTTAAAGTCAGGAGTTGTGCTCTACCACTAGACAACAATGTTTAACATTTTGTCTGATCCATGGACCTTCAGGTTTAGAAAGGAAACTTTTCATTGAGACGGTGGTGAGAGACACGGCTTGTACCGAAAGACTTATAGAAAGGAACTACAGTGTAGATTTTACATGGATGGAATAAAATGGGTTTGAGCTTGACAATGTTCATACAATATTTTAAAAAATCATGTTCCTGCTTTGTCGAGGAAGTTACAGAATAGCTCACCTGTATTTTTTAATAGTGTGGTCAGTTAAAATATGTGGATGAAAACAATATTTAGCAGACAAATCATGATTATACGAAAAAACACCAGTGACTAAAAAGAAACTTTATTATCAAATTAGTAATGTATTGAAAGTTGAAAGCAGGTTAAGATTACATTTTCAAAAGTCAAATTTTGATACTTATTCACTTGTATGAAAATTCAATATTAGTAAAGGAATTCAAATAGCAATTTTTATATACTTGTTTAAAACCTTGAATTTGGTGATTGCGCTAATCTTATGAAGTGATACAATATTGATTATATGTTTGTCTGCAAAACAGCATTATATGCGTTGTTGAAGAATAAAATGATTCGAAATTTTTTTGAAGCAAATACAGGTCAAATCACATTTAAGTAACGAATGTTATGGAACTTAATACAATTTCAAATTTTGAAAGAAATCAATGATAATTTTAAATGTATACTGTATAATTGTTCTTAAATAGATTTCCCATTACATAAATAAGCAAATTACTGGAGACTTCCAGAACGGAAGAAAAACCACCCCAGGGCATCTAGGGCATTATATTCTCCCACTGGATGGAGCTGATGCCTTGGTTGATGCCTGGACCGCGTGAGTGTACAGGCAGGCTCCAGATGTTTTGTACATCTAAAATGTACACCGGCCCGCCACTGCTGGCATCGCAAGTATTTGCTGTGTACACGTAGTACACAAACTCAGAGTTACTGTCCCTTGGCCTGACAACCTCCCTGTGTGTCACCATTCCAAACGTCACGTGCTTTCTGCTGCCGTGGGGGTTGGACACAATGAAGGTAAACCTTCGCTCCTCAGGTGACTTGTAAAAGTACATACAGTAAGCGCGTGTGTGCATGTTTTTGAAAGTTTTTACTTTAACTTCAATCATTTCAGCTACTTTTTGGTCATTTATCTCACAAATAAACTCTAAACGGTCCTGCTGTGTCTCCACAGAGTAAAACGTGTCCAAGTCCAATCTGCCTTCAACATTATCAAACTGATAGAAACACGTCATACATTTTACCTCCCTACCTCCCTTCAAAAGATGAGCTGCTGTTAGTATTTTTATTTTAGCCTTAAAGGGATTCTCCCGTAGTGTCTTCGAGAAAGTAATCCAACCGCTTCCTCTGTTTTTTAGATTGCCTACAGTGAGATTGATACGCACCTCAATGTCTGACAAGGCTTTCACTAGATCAAATATTTCTCTGTTTCTATATCCTCTTGGTAGATGCTCCATCCGAAAGTCCGACATGTCAATAAAATTATTATGGCCAGGGTTTTTAGCACATGTTAAGTTTCGAAGGTCTCTGTCAATGTTGGACTCATCGCCACCTGAAACAATGTTAGATATTAATGTTTACTTTAGCGCCTTAGTGGGACGGCGCTCGTGGACGGTAGAGTGCAAGACTGCTACCTCGAAAGTCTCGAGTTCAGACCTCAAGCACGACTTAATAGGTCAGATGGGTACCTGACTCAAGTAACGGAGACGGCGACTGGGCATATTGCTGACAGCTCTATTGTGTCATATGCTTAGGTCACAAAAACATGAATATCTGCTTCTAGACTGCTAGCTTCGATAGGGTCACTTTAATTTTTTGTGACTAAAGTATATTTAGTTATAAATCAGTTCACTCGATTTATACTTAATCCCGACGGGCAGTTTTTGAATGCATGATAGGCAATCAGCTGATTTAGCACTCTGCATGTTTTTCATAATAACAAAAAAAAAAGAGAGTCTTTCACATACACACAATATATTTCTTAGGATTCATTGTATTATACGTTTATAATTGCGTATTGTTTTAGCCATATAGGCTATAAGACTGTCAAAATCGAATTCATCGCTAGAGTCTACTACGGAAAACCCAATACTTACCACTTTCAACTTCAGCTGTGGAATTTCTATCAAAGCTGTCAGTGTCATCTTCTACCATCTCAATACAACTGTACATACTGAAATGTATTCATCAACTTTATACACAACACAGCAAAATGGTATTATCCGTCATAAGATATATATTTTGCTACTTTTTTATATTGTTATTGCTCTTTAAGATAAATTAACTATATCCCAAAACGCTTCTACATTTGATTAACTTGATTTGAAATTTATTTTAGAAAATAACTAAGATTTTTGTGGGGTGTTTTTTTTTTATTTTGTATTGATGTATCCAAGGGGGTAATGGGACTTAAACCCTCACCTCAACTGACCCTGCGCACGTCACGTATATGTAGAGAGAGAGTGAGACAGAGAAGTCAGAGCGAGAATGATACTTGATAGTTACAATGTTTGTTTTATATCACTTCCTTTCTTGCGATAGTAGTAGACCATTTGCGTTGATGTCTCCACATTTTCAGCGTCCTCGTCTGAGCCTAGGTCACCACAAGCTTATGTAAATAGGGAAATAAAAAAATATACATGTTTATATATATATATATATATATATATATATATATATATATATATATATATATATATATATATATATATATATATATATATATATATATATATATATATATATATATATATATATATATATATATATATATATATATATAGACGTACTTAGAGCCTATTTACTTTCACATAAATATACATTTTTTTAAATTAAATAAACCGGAAGTGATCTCCCCTAAACTTTCTCGAATATTCTTATATAAACAACAGGGGATGGGAACTCGGGCTATAGACATGATTTTTAATCCATTTTGAATACTTAAAGTTTTAAAAATAGAATAAAATCTAGTAGACAAAAGAATTGCACACCAAGTGAACGCCAAATAAAAAAGTGCATAATAGTGCGCAATATTATTAGCACTTTAAAAATTTACATTAGTTTTTTGAGAAATCGGAAGTAGCGTAAATTACTACTTACGGTCAACGGAAATTATTCAAAATTTAACAGAAGGTAGAAAATTAGATCTTTTACTTACAAGTGAAATTTCATTTATCTATCTGAAATAGTACTAAAGTTATAGGCTTTTGAAAAATTCAAAGTAGAAAAAATACCACTTCCGGTTATCGGAAATCGCTCAGAATTTGATACGGATCTACGATTTTGATAAAATACTTATATATGAAATTTCATCAACCTAGCTGTAATGGTACTCAAGTTATCGTGTTTACACATGGACAGACAGACAGACAGACAGACAGACAGACAGACAGACAAACGGACAGAATTGAAAAGCCTAGTTTTTCAGACTGGATTACGCATAAAACCTCTTAATTTTGATAAATCTGGATTGATAATTTTTGCTCGATTAAAATAAGTCCTCTATACTTCAGATGTGATGAAGGACATAGGTGTAATACGGTGAAAATTGTTAACATTTCAAGTGATTTTTGTGCACGATTATAATACTTTCTCTATACTTCGTATATACGAGAAAGTAAAAAACTTAAATAGACATATGATATTTTAGTGCAGAAAATTGATCAAACTTTTAAAACACTGCAATGTTAGAGGCAACATCGCAAGTCACCATAATAGAAAAGCTGTACAATTATCCGTTTTCGATTTCAAAATACAATTACAAAATATTTTGTAAAGATTTTAAGTTTTTCGCACGTTTTCTTTAACTTGCTTTCTCTGTGTGTTTGTCTTTCCAATCCAATCTTGCGATCGAAATTTCTGGCACTTCCCAGTTAGCTAGCGCGCTGAAATTTTCAGGGAAGCTTTGTTTTGGATGACAATTGAATATTCGATTGTTTTTATTACTAAATTAATCCATGGAAACATTTTATTGATCATTTTAGACCGCTATATAATTGTACCAAAAAACGTGGGGGAAAAGGGACATTACCCAGTAACTGTAATTTGATGAAAACAAGGTTCGGCACTCCCCCTCTTTTTGCTTACTGAGTAGTTGTCACGCTGTGTTTGTGTACAAACAACCATAACGTAACAAC